TAAATGCATCCTGTTTATATGCAACCATCATTTAATCCTCAACTTACAACTATTCATTCAGTGACCATTTGATGTTTCAACGACACTGAAAAAAGTCACTTATGACTATTTTTCACATTTATGACTGTTGCAGCATCCCCATAAACATATGATAAAAATTTGCCTCTACCTACCTACCTACCTACCTACCTACCTACCTACCTACCTACCTACCTATTTATAGTTATAGTTATAGTTATAGTTATAGTTATAGTTATAGTTATATAGTTATATATATATATAGTTATATATATATAGTTATATATATATATATATATATATATATAGTTATACACACACACACACACACACACATACATAAAAAGGCAAATTTTGTACATACACATATCACACAAGAGGCTTTTTACTTCTGTTTTCATATAACTTTGTTATTTCCTTTATTGCATGATATCACCCTCATGCAAATAGAGAATTAATGAAGTGTTTCAAACAGAATTTATGTTTTGTTTATGAATGACTCAGCAGTGGCTTGGCAGTGGTCACAAACTACATTCAGGATATTATTTTGTCACAGAGAATAAAATGGAATCCAGTAAAATTCTGGTGGGAGGGAAAACACTGTAACTGCTGATAAAATCTTAAACAGTTGTAAAACCCCAGTTCATAAATTTCTTCAGTGGAATCAGCTTAAATCTTGGGGTGCTTAACTGATGTTCGTACTGTATGTTCTTTCTTTTCTTTCCAAGATGGATTAGATTATTGAAATATTTTAGCTAGGTCATTTTTATTTCACCCATGCAGAGGTAATCATCCTGTTCTTTTTTCATCTTTCCTTATCTTTGCTTAGTAGCAATATCAAAATTCATGAATAAATTTGAACAAGAGTGAAGGGAAAAGAACCTTTGAGCAGGTGATTCATTTCCTGTGCTATCCTATATTGACAGAGGAGGTAAAAGAAACAAAGAGGGAAAAATAAAAGACTACATTTATAGGTTCTGGTTCAAGTTACTGTGATGGGCTGCAGACTGTATTTTTCTTTTTATATGAAATCTGTCTCCATTTATAAGGGTGACTTAATTTTCCTTTGAAAATGGAATGAATGATAAGAACTGTAAAGATTTATAACAAATAAGTGAAGGAAAAAATAAGTCCACATGACAAAAAAGAATGAATATAGTGAAAAAGATGCCCATAAAACTTGTTAAATATGAATACTCTGGTTGTAGTCTCCAATTGGAAAAGAGCATTTCAGATCTGTGTACCACAGGTAAGAAAGCTCAGTTTTGTATATGGTTATCCTCTGCCCCCCTCCCTCCCCCCTTCTGAGAGAGAGGGAGAGAGAGGGAGGGAGGAGAGGGAGGGAGGGAGAGAGAGGGGTGGGTCCAGGTCCATAGATACTATTTCAGAAATATCACCTGGGCATCACAGCTATATTCCGTATCCTCTAATCATAATTGACACCAATTACTCTTAACACTGCATTGTAAAAATAGATTCAATATATTCAGTATAATCACTTCCATTCAGTCAGTCATTCACTATTTTACTTATAGTTTAGACTCTAGAGCTCTGAAAAAAATGGAACAGGGACTTATTCATTCAGAAGATGGAACTTTAGGAAAAAAATATGAATCCTGGACCAAAAAAAGTTATTTATCTCTAATTTAACTAGGCCTGGTTATATCTAGAACACATATGCTAACTCAGAACCTATGTATCCAATTTTCTATTGATGAATACAGTGGAGTGCTCATAAGAAGAGGTTTGTTTGAAGTGTGACTGGTGATATTATCTAGCTGGGTAGTGAAACATCTGCAAGCAAACAACCAAGCAAACAAGCTCAGAGAGAACCAAGGACTCCAGAGTTCAACCCTGAA